TACTGTATTGTGATATGTATTGCAATATTTTCAACAAAAATTTAAATTGAATTTTCTTATTATATTATCTTCCTTTTACATGTAGAATGCACATTACTATGATGAATAATCAATAAATGATATTTTGTTAATTGAATTACAGTTATGCAACTAAATACGCCATATAACAGTTTTTGTCTTACTGTTTGGCATGATCACAACCTTTCTGACAATTTTCCTTATATTTTCCTGAGTCCAAGTATTTTGCCGGTATATCGGTATTACGTAAAAATGTTTGTACTTAAATACTTAAAATACTTGTACAACGTTTCAAACTATGATATTCATTTACTGAAGAGAGGGGGGAAGAGGAATGAATCGATGTTAAATTCTTGACAAGCAAAAAAAAAAAAGAAAAAAAAGAGGAAGATATATATCATGCACACCTAAATTTTACATCGGTTCATCCCCCCCCCCCCCCGCTCCCTTCCGGGTTCCCACTCCCAAGTGAATTTGATTGCGAAGGGCCTTGATTTAGCTCATATCGTATTCCGGTTTTTTTCTTATAGAATACATTTTCATTGCACGATGTTAAGCAGATACAGGAATTTTTTTCAGGATTGAGGTCTTAATAAACTAAAAAAAAAAAAAAAGATCTAAAAAATTTAGGAGGGTTATGTTATTTTATGATACAATTTTTATGACTTTAAAAATCTTCGGGTGGGTAGAGGCATGGTTTCAGTTTTAAATAACCTTGGTGATAACAGCATGTTAGGATAAATCTCTGAAAGAAAAAAATAATTTCACTACAGACATGAAATAATTTACAGGTGCCAATGAGGTATTTTAGCTTGGTGGATCTAGCACGGTGACTGTGACGCCATATATATATATATATATATATATATATATATATATATATATATATATATATATATATATATATATATATATATATATATATATATATATATAGCCGTCTTGGAATAAGCTAAAATAAGTAATCCAAATTCACATGTACAACATTAGACTAGAGGCTTTTCGGAAAATACGGATTGCTTTTTTTTAAAGTCTTGTTTAATATTTTAGAGACCAATCTAATCAAAATGTATAGTGAAATCTTTTAAAGTGGTTAATAATTTATATGAATGGTAAGAAATATTTTTTGTGTATGTAAATCTACTTAACTTTACACTCTAACGAACTCGATTAAGATCGGAACTATTCAGAATGTTTTTCAACCTTTTCGGGGTCTACCCACTAGTCCGAAGGTTCATTAGTCCGACGGCCCACTAGTCCGAAGGTTCACTAGTCCAAAGATTCACAAGTCCGACGGCCCACTAGTCCGAAGGCCAACAAGTCCGAAAGTTCACTAGTCCGATTTAAAAAAAAAGTTACATATATCATAACAAGGTGTGTATATATTGCTTTAAAAATGTAGCGTTTTATGGAACATACCGGTACAGTATACCTTGTTGATTATCATTATAGAATATGATTACAGGTGGAGTTCGCCCCAGTTGTGTATCGATATGTAATTTTCTATTATTGAGGTTTTAAAATGTCGTTTATTCCTATTTGAATCTACAGTAAATAATTTTCACACACGTTTTATTAAACTTTCAGCGTATGCTTTAGCGGAAAAAAGACTAAAGCTTTATAAAACTGATCTGGAGTTACATGACTTTTGTGCCTTTTTCGCTCGAGAGCTAGACATTCACACAGATATACAAAAACAACACCCAAACCCCACCCCACCCCATCCAACACAGGCACATGCACTTGTAAGAACTGTGTCGGAAAAAATTAAAAACTTTTACATGAGAACAGAAATGCTGCAATGAATTCCTCTATGTCTTAAAGCACTAATAGATTTTATAAATTTCAACTACTCAGACCATGGTACTGTAAGTCATATAATTTAGATTTTGGTCAAAACACGTCATGGATTTTTGAGGAATACACAAATGCATAAAGCATGCACAGATCGAATAAGTTTAAAATAAATCTATTATATACTATTCCTTTTCATTCTATGCAACATATATTTCTTCATTTTTCCGCAGCATTAAATTTCCCGATTTTTTTTTTTTCAAATTCTTCTTTCACTCATACAAAGTTTTTCTTTAATGATAATTTTAAAAACTAGAGAAATTTATATTGAATTGCAAACAAGTTCAGTACTTGTTTTTATTTTTAAATTTTGAAACAAATCAACTTGACAATTTTTCGTGGGAATAATAGTAATTCATCCCAGTGAAAGTACATTTATCTCTCTAATTAATAAGTCACTGAGCTTAATCGTTCACGAAGACTTAGTTATTTACGCCATTTAACTTTGTGTAGCTTTTTTCACCACCTCTTAGTTTGATCTTATACCAAAGGAGGATCCAGTTCCTCTCCCCGTTTGAGATTTTCTTTTCTTTTGTTTGTTTAACTTGTATATGCCAGCAATTTTGTCCCAAAATTATGTTCTAGAATATAGTATAAGGGCTGATTCAAAAGGTTTCTCCAAAACGTCAACCCCCCCCCCCCCTTTTCCAAGAAATAGGTTTAAAATTAAGGATAAATAAACATTTTTCAGAAATCTGCAAAATTTATCTTATATTCAAGTAGGTAACCTAAATAATGTTTTCCAGGTAAATTGGTAGAACTATGTAAGATTCTGTCACGATGTTAAAAATGTGTACAAAATTTTGTATAGAATTTTATACAAAAGGATAAAATGTCGCATATCCAAGCAGCAAAGAAAACTTACAATTTCTTTATATTCTGGGGATTTATTATTCATGTAATTTCTATTTAAAATCAGTCAAAAAATTTATATCAATACGTGCATCAATTTTTTGTTGAACTGTAATATATATACATGTATCAGTGCTGTTCATACAGCATATAGAGGCATACGCAGATCAAGGAATTCATTTATTTTGGATACTTCCATTTGGCTTTTTTCTTCTGTGACACGGGACCTTGGTTCTCAAGGTCTCGTTCAAAAGACCCGTGACTTTCACTCCTAATACCGGCCGCTTTGTTAGGAAAAAGTCATTACCTATATGTAAACGATATCACCTACGTTAACTACTTAGAATTGACGCATCGCGAGAATCAAAACCCGGGCCCCCGATCACAAAGAGAGCCTAGCTCCTACCACAAGGCCAACTTGATCGGTCAACGGTGGAGAAAGAAAGGGTTGAGATGCGGGAATATGATTGATTGATTGTATGTTGTTTTACGTCCCATTCGAGAATTTTTCACTCATATAGAGACGTCACCATATACCGGTGAAGGGCTTCAAATTTTGACCTTTACTTGGCACTCAGGGCCATTGAGCAGTGAGGGATCTTTATCGTGCCAATTAAGGTCTCATCAGAAGGACCCGCAACTTTCGCTTCAGATTGCCAAGCACCTGACGAAGGAATAGTTGCTACCCATTTTTTATCGACTTAGGTCAGTCGCGGCCGAGATTCGAACTCACGACCTCCCGATCACGGAGCGAGCGCTCTACACAGGAATATGAATATAAAAAGGAAGTTTCAAATTTCTATTAATAATTTTTAGTCTTAGTATTCTGTGGTCCGAATTTCAACCCAAAACTTCAGGGACTTCTTAAGGTACATTATAGAACGATTGCACAGAGCCGGACACTTGAACTATTTAACTTACGAATTAAATTGGGTTTTCTGACTAGTGAATCTTCGGACAAGTGGGCCTTCGAACTAGTGAACCTTCGGACTAGTGGACCGTCGAACTAGGGAACCTTCGGACCTATGGACCCTCGGACTAGTGAACCTTCGGACTAGTGGACCGTGACAAAACCCGGTGCTAGGACTTTCAGGAAACATCGGTTTTTCGGAGGAAACCCTATACGGAAACTCTTCGAGTTGTCAGCGATCTCGATTTTAGATCGGGCGTGGTATACGGTATACCACGACAACTTGTAATGGCGTCCGATTTCTGCCGATTCTCGTGTAAACCGTAAAATTGACTATGAAAAAAGTACGGATTACAATTTCATTCTAGTGTTCAACATATATTATCATTTTTTTTTAAATCCCAACTCATTTTTATGGGGATTTTAGGTTTTTTGGGGGGTGTCTCCTTTCTCTATGGGGTTTCTCCCGAAAACCGGTATTTCCTGGAAGTCCTAGCACCCGGAAAAACCCAACAACGCGAAAAGAAGAGGAAAAATGAAGGGGAAAATTTCAAATATCACAAGTACTAACATAGTGACTGTCTTTTTTTAAAATTGGGATTAAGATGTACTTTATCTGAAAAAGAGACATATTGTACCCGGTTTTTTTTTTTTTTTTTATTTTAATAAGAAGCCGTTTTGCGTACTTTCTTTTCAGGTTTATTATGAGTAACTGGAGTGTCTGTTTTACGCGTAACTTCTTTGCATTTGTAAATATGGTCAATAAATTTGTGACATCATTAAAGAGATAAACTACAAAATAATAGGACAAGGATTATGAGGATGAAGATAAATTCATTTTCTTTTTTTTTTCTTATGATGTAAGTTTTCTTGAAACTTTCTTCTTCCACACAAGTCAAACGTTATACTCGGGTATAACGCTCTGGGTCTTTGTTAGAAGTTGAAGAGTATTTAGGAATACAAGACTTAGTACGTAAAAAGGAAAGACATTTGATTGCATAAAGGAGACCTATAAAAAATGCAATTTTTGATAACATGGAAATGGAAGGAAAATTCGTCCTAAGAACAGCATCTTAAAAAAATATGTGATTGATCAAATCACTATTACCAGAACATTTCTCTACATGTCTTTATTTTTCATTACTTGTTCCAAATGGTAATTTAAATGAAAGTTAGATTATTTTGATTATCAGATTAAGGATTTAAATTAGTCATTAGAAAAGACACCCTTACCATGCTTGTCACCCTTAAACAATTTAAGTTATGGTACATGCAACATAAATATTTTTATTAGTGGCCTAAATTGAAAATATTCACAAATGGTATATCAAAAAGGGTCAATCAAAGTTTATTCTTGCAGACATTGCAGTGTCATTAAAAGCCTTGATGATCAATCTCCTCATATTGAAGGTATGTTTACATTTTCTCACATACATGTGCTATGTTGTCCAAAATCTTTTTTTGTTTATCAGATATGCCAGACATTTCATTTGATCTGTCTTTTATGTGCAATGACATTAACACCATTCCTTTACTGAAATGTGATATGCTGGCCATGGCTTTTATGAATATGAAATTTAATGTAACGATTCCTTTTATTAACTAACACAGAACTGGCATCCAATCAGAGTGTTAACAAAGACTACGTTAATGGTCTGATAACTCAACCAATACAATCTTCAAAACGACACACATGAATATAAATACGACTGTCTTATATACTTGTCAAATTGACAAGTTGTACTTGACATCTCCTCAAATTTCAGTGCACTACTATAAATTTATTGACGGTTTATATATATATAGATATATCTGTTGGCATTTAAATTCATTTCAGAAAACCCAGTTCTGTATTTTTGTGATATCAGTAGTGTAGCATGGCATGTCTAGGAAAATTTTACTGACTTAAAAAACACATTTTATATTCATCACATGTTCATTGTGACTGACTTTTGATATATCTAGCCGTTGAACTAGATATATAAATATATCATTCTTGTCCCACTTATTTAAGTAGCATGTTTTATTGAGTACAGTATTCATGATAATACAGTCAAACTTCATTTTCTCAAACTCTATTTGGACTGAGGAAAAAAGTTATAAATATCTGAGGGTTAGAGATATTCATAATTGGTGGTGAAAGACTTACAAAGCACTTTGACATATCCATGATATAAGATATATTGGTGTTCGATATACCGAAGTTCAACTGTACTTGTTTTCTATCTCTATAAGTTATCCAGTTGATTTGATTTATTTTTTATCATTTTATTATGCATATATAAACTTGTGGAATTCAAAACATACATACATGTATCAAACAATGAATTGCATCAAAGCTATTTCTAAATTGGAAAAAAAGTGTGACTCTTTTAACATGATGAATATTACTTATTCAAGACTTCTTTGGAGAACACTTTATTTTATTATCGCCAGGTATAGTTATCTTCTTAATTGCCATAAAAATCCTTCATATTGAATTACAGTGTACTTACATATCTATAACAATGATTAAGGGATACTTGCAGTATACATTTCATATATGCATGTAAACCTCAAATCCTTTTGAAGGTCACTGAAATCCTCAAAGCATATTAAGTGTCTTAAATTGAAACTTTGCCAAGGGTGATTCTAAAGCGGATGACACCAATTCTAATATAAGCATAATCAACACTTAATACGAAAAGGGGTTTAAATTACACCTCTATATATAAATCTTGTAATGAGTCCATTATTGTAGTAAGACCTTATTCAACAAATTCAACGATCAAGGAGTGTACTGAAACATTTTAAGATTTAAATGAATCATAAAACATTACATTGATGTCATATCTTGATGATTTTTTTAAGCTTTTAGCTGTTATTCTGTTTTGAAATTTGAAACTTAAATCCTTTCTAGATATATCATGGTATATGCTAGCTTAGATTTCTGTCTATTCATTTTTCTGTTCATACAAATTAACAGAAAAAATGGTGAAAGATTTCCACTTCCAGGGTATGTTTTCTTCAGATTTACCTGAAAAAAGTATTTTCTGTCATCTTCCCCACTCCCAGCACCTTGAATTTATTGATAAAAACTGCTGCACATTTACACATAAGCCTTGTGGCAACATAAATACACATACAATGTGTTATCAAAATTGTATTTGGGAAAAGCATGTGTACAGATTTCAAGTGTTAATTGCTTGTATCATTTTTGACAATAATTCATCAAGATGTTATTAAGATATAACCCATATATAATGCCTAAAAAAGTTTAGGTTATTCATAGGTCATTTTAAGTAATAAACAACGAAATTTATTTTTATCTAACAAAGTCAATAAATTCTTTTTTTTCATTAACAGGAAGTGAAATGTAACACTGATGCATGTCCTGCATCAAGACAAACTATGGATATTGTTTCAAACTGTCCAACCAGTGAATCAGAATGGAGAACAGCTTCTCAAAGAAAAAACTGTTCAGCTTTTGCCAGCCAATGTAGTGATCCTGATAAATTTGTGTACCATTGTGTTATTAATCCATTTGTGAATCAGACACTTGAAGTTTGTGCCTATGGAAAGTACATTGTTTTAGGTATGTGGAATATGTTTTAAAGAATTTCCTTATCTAGTCTAAAGATATGTTGCAAAATGAAAATAATGCAAATCAACAAACATGGACTCAATTCAAAGTCATGTCCAAGGACATCTCATTATTAAGGGTAAATTTTAGTTTATAGGTAGAAGTTATAGATTTAGTATATATATATATATATATATATATATATATATATATATATATATATATATATATATATATATATATATATATATATATATACCAGCTTCCTTTTGAGAGTTTCAGGAAAGTAAATGTACATAAGTACCAGAAGTGAAAGCTTAATTGTATACAACTAGGGCAATCGCACTAGGTCATTTAAATACTGGAAGGATAGGTAATGTAGACCACAGTGCAATGCTTGTATTGTCAATAAACTGTTGAAGTGGTGATCTTAATATAAAAAAGGAAAAGTAAACATTTTGAGAAGAACTTTCTCAAGTGCATATTTACCAAGTAGATAATGGACAGGTTGTCTTGAGTGCAATTTCTCAAGGTCTTAAACATTTATAGAAAATCAATTTTTAGTTAGCATGGGCTTAAGATTTGTTGATTGAAGTGTTTCAGTGAGTACCTTCATGTCCATTAATTTAATGCTGTAACAGTTGTACCTGTCTCTCAGTTAAAAAAAAAAAAAATATTAAATCTCATTTAATTAATGTGCAGAGTTTTAAAATATGAAGTCATTAAACTCTATACTAAGCTCTGTGCCCAATATTTGTACTGCTCCTGGACCAATGGACTTTGAGAATGATTGCTATTTGTTATCTTCACATTTCATACACACTACAAATGATATCATTTGATTTTGACTTGGACTATAATGATATACAATAAGTCACCTCATTGATATTAATCTTGATTCCTTATTTTTTTTAAATGTACATGTTTGAATACACACACACGTCAGAATAAGGAATATTAGAAACATTTTATGAGTGCACTGGTATTAGAGATTCAAATATTCATGTAATTGATGTGTTTTTCATTTAGAAATCCAAGCAAGCCACCAGTTTTAAATTTAGATTATGATATATATCACCATCTGACTGTATTTTTATATTTCCCTCAAACAGTCTTTGTGAATTGGGGGGGGGGGGGGGGTAAGGATCACAATCTCTGCCCTTAGATATTTATTGTCTGGAGATTATCTCTGACAATTTGTAATATTTTGCTTTCAAACTTGGAAAGCTAAGTTACAAAAAGGGGACATCATAACATTTTATGTGTTGTGTGTTTGTGAGAGAGAGGGGGGTGGGGGAGGGGAGAGACTCAAAGCTGTGTGTCTCAATTGTGCTGGGTTTTTGTTTTTTTTAAATTTATTTATTTACCTGTTGGTAATAAAAAGAATATGCCATAAACTATTTTTTTTATAAACTTTTTAAAAGATGATATTAATTTGTACCTTATCTTTAGTTTCATAAAGCAACATATTATCTAATATTGAGAAACATTGTACAGGTATATTGCTAGTTAGACTTGCACCTAATGTTGACATGTTTTGCAGGTTATTGTGCAGAGTACAGCTACAGTGGCAACATAATCCAGCAAAATTATGACACAGATTGTTCTAAATTTACCAACAGTCGTCCATGTCCCAGTGGGTATCATTCTACAGAGGCATTTAAATGTAAGTGTAAAGTAATATACACAATTGTATCTTATTGTGCACACTTTTACAGAATAACTACACTTTATTCTTAAAACTTCTACATAAGAAAGGGTGTCTTTTCCACCCTGTAAGCACATGTGAGTCAGAATTGATGTAATTTATAAATACCCAGTACTTTAACTGTACTTGGTGGCAAACCACACAGGGATCATAACACTGTAGAAATACATGTATTTCTTACCTATGACATGTATTATGTATATCATGTATAGTCATATCATAGACATGGATGGATGCTGAAAATGATGAAAATATGGGAAACTGCAAACACTATACTATGAATTATAAATCCATTACCTGCATGATCAATATGTATATAAGTGCAACTTCCTGGTGATGGATACAGGGTCATTATCATCATTATCAGTCAATCTGATAAAACTGACATACAGAAGTGTATATAAATGTTAGATTAGTAAATAGATAATAAACAAAGATTATGAATTAAGTAAACAATGATCATTTTCTTATGTTGAAGACCCTGGTTGCTATCAGCTGACAAAGAAATCAACAGTTCAGAATCCAACTACAGCACCCTCTGTCCATACTTCTGACACAAACATGCTTGTATCAACTCAAAATACATCCATAATTGAAGAGTGAGTTTAGTAGTTTCACTTTTTCACTTGTTCCATGTTCTTTTAGCTTTGAGGAAGTTTGGTGTAATTGCTGTCATTATATGTAGTCATTCATTATAATAGCCTAATTTGGTACAAATGTATTTTATTTCATTAATGATATTTTGGTGATCTGAATGGTTATTAGCATTATAATTCTTATAGCTTTCAATTCTCAAGCAATTGAGAATTGGTCAAAGATCAAGGTCAAACTAACAAGGTGCCTAATTAGGAGATATTTATATGGATGAAAAGGCCTTTAAGATCAACATGCATAGAGGAGAAAGATTAAGATTGAAGGATTAGGTTACTTAAGTCAGCAAAAGTAAAAAGTGGGGTGGATTTTGCTATTCCTATCTTGATGTGGAAGTAAAATTTCTTTGTGAGGTCTGATTGTCTGAGTTAGTTAAAGTTTCTGGTTGCAATATTTTGTTAATCAAAGTGTATTGATTTATATATCTGTTTTTTTCTGTATTGTACTTCTGTTTATTCTTTTTCAAAATGCAAGTGACAAAATGAACAATAATGCGGCTATTCCTAATACACTGTCTGCACACTTACCTTTTTCATTCTTTCATATTGGGAAGCTAGTGATAAATTCTCTAGTAGGCAAAGAGAGATAACTCTTTAAAATCACTCTGGTTCATTTTAGAAGTTTCATCATCTTCTGTTTGGTAGCCAAAATTGTTCTTGATAATTATCAACAGAGAAAATTTGTCTGCAGACAAGTTAGTTTATCAATTTCATTATGCTGAAATAACATTTAAAAGAAAAGAAAATTATTAATTTATGGCTATTTGAACCTTCAGGTGCTTATTTCAGCATCTCATGCAATTAAGAATTGATTGTCAAAAACATCAATCATTAACCTCAAATGATAATTATGATTATTTAGTGATGAGGAAAAAAAATGTGTATGCTCTGTTTGAGAAAGAGTACCATATGATTTTACTTGCTATTTTGTTTCAATATATATAGGCCAGGTATGGAACATGTTAATGATGACTGGGGATATGTCATTGGTGTCATCATTGCAGCCATTCTGGTCATTTTGATTGGAATTGCTGTGGTAATTTTTGTACTTAGACGACTTCGACCAAGATCTAAAGAACATCTTCATGAAAAAGGTAAATATACTATTTGTATTATTTTTCTTAATCAATTAATCATATACTAATTATTCAATAAATTATTTAGACCCAAGTAGTAACCGTTAATTAAGATTTGTTAAATTTTAGATTTAGTGCATCCCCCCTCACCCCCACCCCCTCTTTCCCCCCAGTGTTATCCCTTTATTTCAAAGTAAAGGGTTATATATATCAATTGTAACAGGCTTTAAAATTTTTGATTTCTAAGCAGCAATTTTATTTAGTTTAATATAGTTTAGACCCAAGTAGTAACCATTAATTAAGATTTGTTAAATTTTAGATTTAGTGCATCCCCCCCCCCCCCCCCCCCCACACACCTCACCCCCACCCCTCTTTCCCCTGAGTGTTATCCCTTTATTTCAAATTAAAGGGTTATCTATATCAATTGTAACAGGCTTTAAAATTTTTGATTTCTAAGCAGCAATTTTATCAGTTGAAGTGGTCAATTTGGTCGGGGTCCAACTCTTAGGGAAAACACTGCTCCCCTGCTAAAGTTACATGTATTTTACTTAATGACCAATAGACATTAGATTCCCTCTCCCCTTTCTCCATTAAACTTTAATTCTTCTAGTTATAATTCATTTGGTATCAACCATCATTGTATCAGCATATATTTTAGTGAACTTCTTTAAATTCCAGTCATGCACATGGTGGGCTAATATGTTTCTAAAACATAAATTACACCAAGTAGTGTGCCTTTAAGGCAGTGAAAATGTATATGATCTTTTTCTTGATATTCATTCTAATAAAGCTGTAATTTTGAGAGTTTATAATTTACTCATACAATTTCAATCCTGCTAGAATTTCTCACACATTTTAAAAATATTTTGAATACAGTAATGGAGAATGGTCAACTCATGATGGAAAATGAAGATGCAGGTAAATATTGTAATGCTTCATTAAATATTTAGGATGGATATTTCCTTTTTAGCTCATCTGAGCCAAAGGCTCAAGTACATGAAAATGAATTACATGTACATAAGAAAAACTTATGCTTATAATCCTTATAAAGAAGCAAAATCACCCATCCCTGGCACTTCATTAGAAGTGTGTTTTACTGTTACAGTAGTACTCATAAATCTTTTTAAAATCTGATAAAGAACAGCAGAACCAAGGGGACTCAGGTGAGTGTTATGATCCTGAACTCTCTGTTAAATATTTCAAAATATATTTAGGTCACCTGAGTCACTCAGGTGACCTATTGCTATCTGTTTTTGTCTGTCGTCGTACGTCGTTCGTCGTTCGTCGTCAATCAGTCGTAAACTTTTGAACATTTTTAGCTTCTTCTCTGGAACCACTGAACCAATTTCAACCAATTTTGGCATATAGCATCTATGGGTGAAGGGGAACAAAAATTATGAATTTCATGGTCCCTGCCCCCCTGGGGCCTGAGGGGTGGGGCTAAAACCACCAAAAATAATGCAATCTTTAAAAATCTTCTTCTTTACTCCTGGACATCAAGCAGTCAAACTGTTGGCATCATTGTAATAAGCATGGAGCCCTCTATCAAAATTGTGAAATTCATGGCCCCAGGGTCAGGGGTTCTGGCCCCAGGGTGGGGCTATATAGATCATATAGTGAAAGTGCATTATTTCTTTGAAAATCTTCTTCTCTGCTCCTGGGTATTAAATAAAGTTACTAAGTACATAGTTATGATGAGCAAGAGTGCCTCTTCCAAAATTGTGAAATTCATGGCCCCAGGGTCAGGGGTTCTGGTGTTAGGGCGGGGCTCTATTGATTATATATAGTGAAAATGCATTATTTCTATGAAAATCTTCTTCTCTGCTCCTGGGTATTAAATAAAGGAACTAAGTACATAGTTATGATGAACAAGAGTGCCTCTTCCAAAATTGTGAAATTCATGGCCCCAGGGTCAGGGGTTCTGGTGTTAGGGCGGGGCTCTATTGATTATATATAGTGAAAATGCATTATTTCTTTGAAAATCTTCTTCTCTGCTCCTGGGTATTAAATAAAGGAACTAAGTACATAGTTATGATGAGCAAGAGTGCCTCTTCCAAAATTGTGAAATTCATGGCCCCAGGGTCAGGGGTTCTGGTGTTAGGGCGGGGCTCTATAGATTATATAGTGAAAAAGCATTAATTCTTTGAAAATCTTCTTCTTTGCTCCTGGGTATTAAATAAAGTAACTAAGTACATAGTTATGATGAGCAAAAGTGCCTTTTCAAAAATTGTGAATTTCATGGCCCCAGGGTCAGGGGTTCTGGTGTTAGGGCAGGGCTCTATAGATTATATAGTGAAAATTCATTAATTCTTTGAAAATCTTCTTCTCTGCTACTGGATATTAAATAAAGTAACTAAGTACATAGTTATGATGAGCAAGAGTACCTCTTCCATAATTGTGAATTTCATGGCCCCAGGGTCAGGGGTTCTGGTGTTAGGGCGGGGCTCTATCGACTATATGGTGAAAATGCATTAATTCTTTGAAAATCTTCTCCTCTGCTCCTGCGCATTAAGGTGATAAACTAAGTACATAGTTATGATGAGGAGGTGGGCCTCTTCCAGAATTGTGAAAGCAATGGCCCCTGGGACAGGGGTTCTGGTGTTAGGGCGGGGCTCTATTGATTATATAGTGAAAATGCTTTAATTCTTTGAAAATCTTCTTCTCTGCTCCTGGGTATTATTTAAACAAACTAAGTACATGGTTATGATGCATAAGGATGCCTTTTCAAAAATTGTGAATTTCTTGGCCCCTGGGTTAGGGGTTCTGGTGTTAGGGCGGGGCTCTATTGATTATATAGTGAAAATGCATTGATTCTTTGAAAATCTTCTTCTCTGCTACTGGAGATTATATAAACAAACTAAGTGCATGATTATGATAGGCAAGGATGCCTCTTCCAAAATTTTTAAATATATGGCCTCAGTTTTTGGGGTTCTTGAGGAGGGGGGGGGGGGGGCTCTATTGATTATATAGTGAAAAAGCATTAATTCTATTAATCATTAATTAATCCTGTCTGCTCCTTTGTGTTGAGCTGATAAATAAATTGCTTAGCTATGATGAAAATGGGAGCTTTGAACAGAATTTTTAAATCTTGTGGTCCTAGGGTCAGGGGTTCTGGCATAACGAAGGGGGGGGGGGGGGGGCTTTTGATAATATAGTGGAAAAGTGTTAATTCTTTGAAGTCCATAGTTATGATGATGAGGGTAACTCTTCCAAATTTGTAAATTTCTTGACCCTTGGTATTGGGTTCTGGTGTTAGGGTAAGGCTTTGTTGAATCTGTAGTGAAAATGCATTGTACCTGTGAAATTCTTCTCTGCTTCTGGACATATTGGAAGCAAACTGAGTAAAAGTTTAAATGATATGAGTAAGCGTATTTCTACCAGATTTTTAAACATCTGGACCATTGGTCTAAGCATTCTGGTCCTGGGCAGGGCTCTATTAATTTGTATTCTACTGAGAGAAGTTATTCCCCTTTTCCATTCACCTTTGATAATTAATCACTGTAAATAATGTATTTGAAAGGTTAATAGAATAAGATAATTATGCAAGAATGTTTATTGTATAATTAAAAAAGTACTTTCTTAGTTTTAATAAACAGGTAGACTTGTAAGTTATAGATAAATAAAAATGAGACAAAAATAACTTATCTTATTAAAAGTTCTTCAAAGACCATAAGAGAGGTCAATGCTAGAGGTCTTAGTATGGGTTATAAATAGTACAGAAGCACTAATAGTTTGTTAATAGTCTGCATAGTGTTAAGTGGGGGACAGATTAGAACTTAATTTATGACTTGATACTGAATACTAGACTAATTATTTTGTTGATCCTGATCTTCCTACTTCTCTTGCTTTAGGGCAACAAAGCTTCAACTATCAGTGTATTTAACTTCTAAATTGTTGTATTATACTCAGGTGACCGTTAAGGCCCTTGGGCCTCTTGTTTGATAATACCATCTATTGGAAGACTTTGAAAATATTTATGATATATTTTAAACTTTGAACAGAAACTGGAGGAAAGAATACACAACCAGTGGATGGGAATGAACATTCTGCAGGTGAGGAAAAGGCTTTATGAATGACAGCTCAATGCAATAGCATTTTTAGTTCCTTTGAGCCAAAGACTCAAAAGAGCTAATATGCTATAGACATCTGTGTGGTTGATCAACTTTTTAGCTCACCTGAGCCGAAGGCTCAAGTGAGCTTTTCTGATCACATTTTGTCTGTAGTCCGTCTGTCCGTCTGTCTGTCCGTCTGTCCGTCTGTAAACTTTTCACATTTTCGACTTCTTCTCAAGAACCACTGGGCCAATTTCAACCAAACTTGCCACAAAGTATCCTTGGGTAAAGGAGATTCAAGTTTGTTCAAATGAAGGGCCACGCCTTCTTCCAAGGGGAGATAATTGAGAATTTGTGAAAAATTAATGGCATCATTAAAAAATCTTCTTCTCAAGAACCACTGTGCTTGAAAACATGAAACTTATGTGGAAGCATCCTCAGGTAGTGTAGATTCAAGTTTGTTCAAATCATGACCCCCGGGGGTAGGGTGGGGCCGCAATGGGCGATCAAAGTTTTACATAGGAAATATACAGGAAAAATCTTTAAAAATCTTCTTCTCAAGAACAGCAAAGCCATGATTGGTCATATTTAAATGGAAGCATCCTCAGATAATGTAGATTCAAATTTGTTCAATTCATGACACCCCCCCCCCCCCCCCCCCCCCAACCACTTTTATATTTAAACTTTTCAACCTTTCAAGATTGAAGTGATTTCTGCTTTTTCCTAGCCATAGTGCTCAGGTGAGCGATGTGGCCCCTGGGCCTCTTGTTGGGATATGGACCATTTCTCAAGAACACTTTGGCCAATTTTTGGCAAGTTTGTCATAGAGTATCCTTTGCCCAAGGGCTTTCATTTATACTAAAAATAGGGATATGGCAATTAAACAAGGGGGGATAATTAGGGAAATAAGAACAACTGTTGGTTTCTAAAATATTTTCTTCTCAAGAACCACTGGGCATATTATCACCAAACAGAAACACAACAATGAGGCTATGTTGTAGATTAAAAATTGTTCAAAACGTCGTACTGGCGCAAAGGGCATTTTCTGAAGGTCACTTCAAAATAGACCTAAAATTATGTTCTGTTGAAACTAATTTTTGCTCACTGTAAAGAATAAGATAATCAAATATTGTCAGTTGATGCATCTTAGGATATCATGCTATGTAGACTTGAAGTAGGTGATGATGAACTACTTTTTAAATTTTGCATATATTCATTTTCAAATTGATTTTAATGCATATTTTGGACACTTTGAAGTCTTTTTATCAAATCCAGTCAGGTAATGCATCATGGGGCCATATGTGTCAACTAAAAGAGAGGTCACAATGACCTACTTCTGGAACTTTATGGGTGATCATTTTCTAAACATTTTAGTTCATTATTTCTGATATTGTGAGGTTTACAATTATCAAACCTTGGATGTTGATACATCTTGGGGTCATGTAAGAAATTTATGAACAGTAGGTCACAGTGACCTACTTTCAGAATTTTGCAGGTATTCATTTTCAAATTGCTTTAGATGAAGATTTTGGACACTGTGGATCATTGGATCATCAAACCTTATTAGCTGATGCATTCTAAGGCCTAATAGTACGTATATCAACAAAAGTTGGTCACTGTGACCTACTTTTGGAATTTTATGACTATATTTAAATATTTAAGATACTAAGTTGCTTAGAATCATTAGTTGATGCATTTTGGGTCTTCGAAGTGTGTCATCCATAAAGTAGGTCACCATGACCTACCTTTAGAATGTCAAAGCTATGTATCTAAATATTTTGAATAATAGTAGGCTTAGAATCCACAAACTTTGTCAGTTGATGCATCTTGCCTTCTCAGAGTTTGTTAACCAAAAAGTAGGTCATGGTGACCTACTTTTGGATTTCCACAGCTATATCTAAATATTTAGGGTAATAAAAGAATCATCAAATGTTGGATTTTAAGAGAGTGTTAACCAAAACATTGGTCAATTTTTACCTACTTTTAGAATTTCAAAGCTATATATATAAATATTTCGAATAATAAGGGGCTTAGAATCGATTAAGTTTGTCAGTTGATGTATCTTGAGTTCTCAGAGTTTGTTAGCCAAAAAGTACATGGAGGTTATGATGACCCACTTTTGGATTTTTACAGCTATATTTAAATATTTAGGATAATAAAAAAAAACATCAAATGTTTGATTTTCAGTGTGTTAAGCAAATTGTTGGTCAAGTTTGACCTATTTTTTTGAATATTTATTCCCCTTACATGAAATGTCCATGGCATATAGTGTTACCTCTTTCTTTCTGTTATTCCCCACTCTCATTGCTGCATAATTAGTTTCTGGACTTTTTCTGCTGTGCTAATAGTTAATGATATGAGTTTCGGTTCATATCTTGACATTTCATTGTTTTCTTACATGTACATATACAGGTCACGTTTGAGTTTTGTGCTGATTGACCCATTTTTATGAAAGCTATTGCCCTTAGACCTTGAAAACTACTACTACTTCACAGTTCTTCAGACTTATATAAAATGAGCAGATTTTTGGTTGTGCCCCTGCTATGAAATGGCCAAGGCATACATGTATAGTGTTACGGATGAAAGACTAGTATAATATTTTTGGAGCAGGTCCATTCTAAATTAACTATTTGCCATACCTTAATCAAACTTTCATGGATGATTCATCTAAGAGTGTACACTACTGGACTTGCTTCGGTTGCTAGATTTGACCTACATTTTCCAGATGAGGGACCAGGTTAAAGTTTTTAGAGCAGTCTCTTTCTTAAAAAGCTATTTGCGGTACCTTGACCAATCTTGCCTAGTTGATACATCTAAGGATGCACACTACTGGACTTGCTTCGGATGCTGGATTTGACCTATATTTTCAAAATGAGTGATTAGGTTAATGTTTTCACCACAGGGCCATTACCAAGAAACTGTAAGGAATTTAATGATTCCAAGGTATGTTCTAAACCAGGGGCATATCTGCAGATTTGAAAGCATTACAGATTTTCGCCAGCCATGACGTAAATTCAATATTTCATTAATTTTTAGAGAAAATAGTGTATTTTGTCGATAGTTTGATCCAGCGCAGGACTGCCTCATCTCGATCTCTTGATATAATGTATGGAGTATAATATCAATCAAATATGTGAATAGTGATTTGGAACAAGCTTGCGTTCAGTAAATTCTGTACTCAAAATTGAGCAATTTTTTTTTCCATTTTGTCCTTGTTCTGAAAAATAATAGAAAATTCATATAACATGTATAATGCTGTGATGTTACAGAAAGAAGCATTGATGATAATCTGCTTCCAATCTGTATTAATTTTTGTCAATAAAGATTTTTCAAACAATATATCATACAATTGTGTACATTTCTAGAGTTGGCTTTTTTATAGGGGCAAAAATATGCTTTCACCATATATGGTTCTTTTTATTGATAGCTATAACATTAAAAGTATGTTTTACTTCTATTTTTCGTATTCCCTTCTACAGATTTGATTCTCATAGTGAATCAATACCCCAAAAATGTTCAATAACACTGATGATTCCATGTCTGTATTACACATGGGAGTAGGGGGGATTTAACCTTCTACCAAATTAATGAATAGAAGAATGAATCATTTTAGATCTATCCCAAACAAAAAAAGTATCATAGTAAACTATCGTTTACTATAGTTAACTATAGTTAACGGCAGTATCAAACTTTTCACTATAGTAAACCAAAGTTTTACTTTAGTTAATCAAAGTTTTCTTTAACAATGAACCCCGGATTGTTATTAACCCTACATGCTATTTTCATATATTAAAAGGAAATAGTGGTCTGTTCATATAATATTTCAAATATTTACATCATAGGTATGTAATTTAAGAGTTACAAGGACAAAAATAAATGATTTTGATGTTAAGTGCAGGAAAAGTATTAACAAACCTCTACATTAAGCATCTGTGTATTTTTGAAACACTTTTTATGTGTCTTTTCAGAGAGAAAACAATTATTACCATCTGGAAAACCTGTGGAATCTGGTATGCAAGTATAACAATCTGTATCTAATAAAATATGAAATGAAACATAGAGGAAAGTAACAGTATTGCAATATACATGTATATCTTATTTAAAGATGCATAGAATTGAAGGGAATATTATTTAATATTTTAAGTTTATTGGAAAAATTTATATTTGAATTTCAAACTAAATAATTTAACCCCTGTTTAATGATGCTAGAGAGATTAAGAATAAAGGTTAAAATTAGATTTTAATTTTTTAGTTCATCTTAGCTAGAAAATTAGGTAAGCTCACTTGTTGACAGTCTGTAATCTACCAGTGTGTTTGTAAGTTTGTTAATTTTTCAAATTTTTAACACCTAAAATATTAAAAATCATTATAGCACAACATCATGAAAGCTTCCCTTTTATGCCATAGATTCAGAGGTAATCAAATCAAATTTGTGTTTGAGACAAGGCCACAATGTTTGTGTGTGTGTTTATGTGTGTGTATATGTGTACTGAGGGAATACATTTTACCTAGGGATATAGAGCAAAGAATCTCTTTAAAAACCTTACATTTTAAGAACAAGTGGCCATTTAGTAAGCATAGAATGACAGAATTCTAAATTTGCTGTGCTGTTGATTCAATTTTTAATATAAATCACCAAAGCCAGAGGCCTAATTTTATTAAAGTTTGTCTGGTGTTATCAAAAAGAACTTCAATAGGAAGGAATTGGAACTTATGTTCATGATGTGGATGGCGCTGACATAATTTGTTGTCATGCCCTTCCTGTGTCCTTTCTCCTTATCTTAACTTCAGACTTGGCAGTTAACCCAATTTATAAGAATTTTTATCAAACATCATACAAAGATTCATATTATTCGTATGTTCAAACAATTCATATATATCATAGTTTTTCTTCACTTGTATTAGACTCTTCTTCATTTTGCATTTACCTTAGTTTTAAAAACAATTAAAACTGCGATAGCGCCCACTGTATTAATGGACTCGCTCTCGTATGTGACCGTAAAATTCCTCCAAATGCATTACCCTATACATTTTACTTGATTAAACGAACACCTGTCTAAGTGATCATCGACCGTGATTTTTGCAACTTTTTTTTTTAGTAATTTCAAGCACTAGTACCTTGATTCATTAACTATAAAATTTCCAATCCCTACTTTCGAATCCGATCATCTTTTTTTTTGGTTCAAACATCTATGAACATTAGTGTTGCCGTCGGATAATGTAAACACACGCTAAGCTAGCACCAACACCAGGTATTAATTGCAATGATACAGTGATTGAAGTAACTGGTGATAAACACGCAATCAGAGTAATAACTAATCATTAAGGAAATATATAATTAGGGTAAATAAGTTTTTATTTGTTACCAAATGCATAATGAAAAACATGGTACGGTTTTAATTCGTCATACAGTGAAGAACATACGAAGTTACATGCATACAGGCTTCCATGTAAAACAAATTCTGAAATTTGAAAGACAATCTTTATAGGTATTTTATTATATAATAAAATATCTTAATACTTTCAAATCCATAATACTTTTAAAAAATCAAAATGACTCCTTTGCGGATCAAGCGCAAATTTTATTACCGAACATGACGAATGTACCCCAAAACACTTAAGTATTAATGTTGAGCAATACTTATATTATTTAAAAATGGAAATATATAGTGTATGATGTAAAATTAATACCAAATAAATGTGTAATATTTTCAGCATTGTATATTTGAACAGTGCGGAAAAAAGCAATCTGTATTAAGAGACTACCTTTCATATGTGATCTTTTTTCCTTCTCGATTGGAAGGTCTCTTAAATACAGGTTTGACTGTATTTTCATTAATCTGTATTGTCTTACGAAAATTCTAAGAAGCAGCTCAAAATTTCAAATGCTCACTAATTCTTGACCTAAACATTCCATATGATCTTAGACTTCACGTTTACTTCATTTTGCTCTTAGTTCATCTAGTTGAATTCAATTAAAGATCGTATCTATTAACTGAATATGAAACAATAAGACTTCATAGAGCTGTAAAATAAGGGTTACATGTAAATGAACAGTGCACAACACACTACAAAATTTAATAATTTAAGAATAAGAGAGATTTCCTAAAGAGTTTGAAATCACATGTACAATGCACTATGCTATTTGTTTGGTATATGTTATTTAACCATACACCTGTTTGTCTTCGGGACAATAAAATGCATAATTTTCAGGATTTGTGTTTTGTTACTAAATAGTTGAATTGTTAAAGGTCTATGATTGATTGATTAATTAGGGCCCCACAAGGATTTGCGGGTGCCCTATAGTAATCACTCTGTCTGTCTGTCTGTCTGTCCGTCTGTCATTCTTCCGTCCACAAATTTTCTGTTTTTTTTTTTCAAATAACTTTTTTAGGGTTGACCAATTAACTTCAAACTTTGTATGTTGGTTGAATAGGCTGTAAAACATATTTTGATGCTAAGTTTGGTTCTCTATGTCATTCGGTTTGGAGCTGGGTGGTGGGGTAGATTCCTTAACTTTATGTAAGAGTGAATTGGCAAAGAGAGATAACTGCTGAGAATGTTCCTATTGTAAACTAGGAAAAGCTGCAATGAGTCTCTTGGGATTAATTAACTTTCCTCTTGAAGAAAATCCAAAGCATTTATCTTTATCTGCCACATTGAGATTAATTAACACTTCTGTCTGCAAATGAAGTTTGTTTTGAAGTTAAGGTCAATTTTGAATGATGTTTGCATTCTCTGAAATGTGGATTTAAATAATGTTCATACTTTATTTTGGTAAAATACACAATGAGTTATGATTTTATTGAAAACAAGATATAGATAAAGATATCTTTTTCATTATTATTTTATTTTTAGCTCTTCTGAGCCAAAGGCTCAAAGAGCTAATGCTATGGCCATTTGTGCGGTGTGCAGTGTGCGGTGTGCATAAACTTTTTAGAATATGGGCCATAACTCAAGAACCCCTTGGCCAATTATTGTCAAATTTGTCACAGGGTATCCTTGGCCCAAGGGCTCCCTTTTGTACTAAAACTGGGGTTGTGACCCTTTAACAAGGGGAGATAATTAGGAAAATAGAAACAAAAGTACTGGTTGCTAAAAAATCTTCTTCTCAAGAACCACTGGGCAGATTATCACCAAACTTACACAAAAGGATGAGGATATGTTGTAGATTAAAATTTGCACGGGGATTTACCCTGGGGCAAAGGGCGTGGTCTCAAGGTCACTTCAAAGTTGACCAAAAATTACATTTTATTAAAATGTTGATATTTTGCTTACTATAAGGACTAGGACCATCAAATCTTGTCAGTTGGTGCATCTAAGGACCTCATATCATGTTTACTCAAAAGTAGGTCACGGTGACCTACTTTTTAAATTTTGTGGCCATTCTTTTTCAAAATGATTTAGAGGCATATTTTGAACAATTTAAGGCCTATGATCATCAAACTTTGTCAGTTGATGCATCTTGGGTCCTCAAAGTACGTCAACTAAAAAGTAGGTCACCTTGACCTACTTTTTGAATTTTATGGCTAAACTTTTTAAAAACAATTAAGGTCATTAATTCGAATACGGGGAGGCTTAGAATCATTAAATCTTGTAAGATGATGCATCTTGGGGCCATAAAACATATTTATTAAAAAGTAGGTCACAGTGACCTACTTTTTGAACTTTGCAGGCATTCGATTTCAAAGCGTTTTAGAGGCATAATTTGGACATTTTAAGTCCTATGATCATAAAACTTTGTAAGTTGATGCATCTTGGGTCCTCAAAAAAGGTCAACTGAAAAGTAGGTCACTGTGACCTACTTTTCAATTTATATGACTATAATTAAATATTTCAGGAACTAATTGGCTTAGAATCATAAAACTTTGTCAGTTGATGCATCTTGGGTCTTCGGAGTAGGTCGACTAAAAAGTAGGTCACAGTGACCTACTTTTGAAAATTTATGGCGTTAATTAAATATTTCGGGTACTAATTGGCTTAGAATCATCAAACTTTGTCAGTTGATGCCTCTTGGGTCTTCAGAGTAGGTCGACTAAAAAGGAGGTCACCGTGACCTACTTTTGAAAATTTATGGCTTTAATTAAATATTCCGGGTACTAATTGGCTTAGAATCATCAAACTTTGTCAGTTGATGCCTCATGGGTCTTCGGAGTAGGTCGACTAAAGAGTAGGTCACGGTGACCTACTTTTGAAAATTTATGGCTTTAATTAAATATTCCAGGTACTAATTGGCTTAGAATCATCAAACTTTGTCAGTTGATGCATCTTGGGTCTTCAGAGTAGGTCGACTAAAAAGTAGGTCACCGTGACCTACTTTTGAAAACTTATGGCTTTAATTAAATATTTCGGGTACTAATTGGCTTAGAATCATCAAACTTTGTCAGTTGATGCCTCATGGGTTTTCGGTGTAGGTCGACTAAAAAGTAGGTCACCATGACATACTTTCAGAAAATTTATGGCTTTAATAAAATATTTCGGGTACTAATTGGCTTAGAATCATAAAACTTTGTCAGTTTAAGCGTCATGGGTCCTCGGAGTACAACAACTGAAAAGTAGGTCACGGTGACCTACTTATGAAAATTTATGGCTTTAGTCAAATATTTCGGGTACTAATTGGCTTAGAATCTTTAAACTTTGTCAGTTGATGCGTCTTGGGTCCTCGGAGTACAACAACTGAAAAGTAGGTCACCGTGACCTACTTTTGAAATTTTATGGCTGTATTTAATATTTTCAGGAATTATTTGGCTTAGAGTCGTCAAAATTTGTCAGTTGATGCATCTTTGGTCCTCGGAGTAGGTTGACTGAAAAGTAGGTCACCGTGACCTACTTTTGAAAATTTATGGCTGTAATTAAATATTTTGGGTACTTATTGGCTAGAATCATCAAACTTTGTCAGTCGATGTATCTTTGGTCCTCGGAGTACAGCAACTGAAAAGTAGGTCACGGTGACCTACTTTTGAAAATTTATGGCTTTAATTAAATATTACAGGTACTAATTGGCTTAGAATCATCAAACTTTTGCATCGTGGGTCCTTGGAGTAAAACAATTGAAAAGTAGGTCACTTTGACCTACTTATAAAATTTTATGGTTATAATTTTAAAAAATATTTTAGGTATTAATTGGCTTAGAATCATCAAACTTAGTTGATGGGTCTTCAGAGAATGACAAGTGATAAGTAGGTCACCATGACCAACTCTCAGGTACTAATTGGCTTAGAATCATTTTGGGTTCTCAGAGTGTGAATTGGAATTTCAAGGGTTTATCTAAATATACAGGATACTTCGAGGCTTCAAATAGAAGTGATAGGTTGTACAGTTTATCAGAAGAGCGATTCAAGGCCCATGGGCCTCTTGTTTTTTTATTTTTTCTTTCTTTTTTTTCTGCCTTGTGTAAATTCAAGCGTACTATTTATTTTAACAGGTATTCAGATAATAACCCCATTCTATCATTGCTGAAAAAGATTTTATTGTAAACTTATAAGAAAAGGTTGAGAGAGCAGTATAATTAATCCCTTGGGTTTGATTATATTGCTGCTTGCAGAAAATTTTAGAGGGTTATCTTTCTGTCACTTTAAGTTTGATTAACATCTTTGTCTGCAACTGATGTTTGTTTTGAAGTTAAGGTCAAGCCTAGGTGATATTTGCATTCACTGAAGGCTGGCATTTTAGAAAACACATGCTTCATTCTTCTTTTAATATACATTTAATTGAGTTATTATAGATATGATGTTTTTTACTGCCGTATGTAAATACAAGGAAACTATTTATAGGTTGTTGGATATTTAGCAGTTGCTGTTGCTTATTCTTCTTTACATATTTTTAAATTTTTGTAATCAAGTCAAGTTCTCATCCCCTAATCTGCACCCTTATATTTCTACCCCTTGGCGGGGCCCTTGCTGACTGGTCAGATTTCTAGTTATATGATGTCACTCATATAGGGACGGTGAAGGGCCTTTACTCGGTGAAGGGCCTTTACTAGGCACTCAGGGCTATTGAGCAGTGAGGGTTCTTTATTGTGCGAACGCCTACCATGACACGGGGCCTTGGTTTTTAAGGTCTTGTCCGATTGACCCGCAACTTTCACTTAAATGTGCCGAACGCTTGGCGAAGGAACAGTTGCTACATATTTTTATCGACTTAGGTCAGTCCGCCCATGATTCCAACAAATGACCTTCCGATCACGGAGCGAGCGCTCTACCGATTGAGCTACCGTGACGGCACAAGTTCTATGAAGGATTCCTTTTGGAACTTGTTTTTTATGAACAACCTCCCATTGAAGCTGTGCATTTCTAGTAAGGAAACAATTGAGTATTAGCGTACAACCCAATAAAATGATCCCCAACTCAGTCAAGGGGATTAATGAAAAAATGTAACTCTTACTTTAGATCACCTAAAACACCATTCAAAAATGTACATTAAGTTTAGGTTTACCTCCAAGTATGATTTTAAAGAGACTGAAATGTGTGACCTGCAATATTTTTTTTTTCACTGTTCCAAAAATTGCCAGGTTGGTGAGTTTCTGCTTTGAAATTCTTTTCAGAAATTGCAAGAAAAATAATACAGTCTGTGGAGGATGGAGAAAATTCAGGTGATAATGGAAGTGTACAATTGATTAACATATGTTAAATGCTATTTGTGGAGTTCTCTGTGTGTGTTTGTGTGTGTACTGTACAACAGTGAAACATGTCTTATCCTACGTACTGGGGCAATTTTTTTTCAGACTAGACAATTTAAAGAACATAGAAAGCAGTAAAATTGGAATTTAAATAAAGCTTGGAATTCATTATAGAATAGATTGCACAGGTGTCGGATTAGAAAATTTTCACCTTAAGGAAAGGAAGGAGATGGTCACTTGTTGAGTTATGTTTGTTACATTACCAAGTTCCACGAACTCACACCAGATCAAGTACAAAATGTTTTTGAATTAGGAAAATGTGGAAACTAGTATAGGACACAGGGCAGCTCTGTTATTGTAAATGTTTACGTTTCACCGGTTGTGTTCAATTTGTTAAACTCTGCACACATCAATGAGCATGGACTGACAATACTGGAAAGTTGGTTTTGCTTTCTCACATGTCTACTCTGAATTTTCTGGATTAAAGTTTTAATATTTTTCATTAATACACAACAAAATTTCTAATTTTCATAAGCATTAAGGGTAAAATTTACTTTGTGAAAGTTTAATTGCGTATCAATCAAACGCGTCCCGAAATTCGAAGTTTCAATAAATTCTAGATAAGATAAGTTTTTTTTAATTATATTTCCGTATGAAATGCTATTGCAACATACAAATCATGATAAACAGAAAATTTGAGAAAATATTAACTTCAAATCTGTGCCCAGGCCCCTTTCATGTATAATCGCGTAATTTCATACGATTTCCACTTTAAAATTGCCAAGTGTTTTTTTTTTTTTTTTTTTTTTTTCCTGCTGACAATCAACAGAAAAAAATCAGCAAAATAATACCTAAAATTATTATAGGACGTTTAATATTACGGTTTAAGTTTAAAGTTTGTCTTGACAACTAAAACACTTGGTTGTTCTAGCTTTATGCATTTGATATCAGCAATGTTTGTGAAGTACATGTACTAGCTTTCTTCTTTGAATTCTTTTCTTTTTTCAGAATGGTTACTTGTATTTTGAAAAAATCGTGTACACCAAAATATCAGTGCCATATTATATGTATATGTCTTGCTGTATGTCTGCTCATATATGCCTTATACATTTTATATATTTTGCACTGTATATGTGCTTTACACTAACACCAGTCCTATTCTCCTTATCTGTGGTTACTCAATACTTTTTATGTTAACTCGTTTCTAATAAAATAATACCTTGCGCAGATATCTTAAATGTTACTGAAATTTAACACTTTGTCTAAGTTATTATTAAGTATCCTTTAATACATATTTTAGATAATGAAATTGAATGCCTCAGTTACATAAGAGGATGCTATGTTGAAATTGTAGGAGAAACGAAGTGCTCGTGCCTATATCAGAGAAAACATGATCAATCAGAGATATTACAATTGTATCAACTTTTTTCAACTAATTTTTACATTATCCTGGATGGCGCCAGACCGTCAGTTTTGTGTGTGTGTGTGTGTTTAGGTCACAAGAGCCTGACCTTGAAGCGACAGAAATGATATAACTTTAAGATAACTTTATAAATAAATTGCTAATTTCAAGTATTTACAAGTGTAAGAAAAAGAGGTAAAAAGGGGATTTCTTTGCAAACATGATAATTTGTACAAAGCTGTCATTTATCATGTATCTTTACTTCACTCTAGGAAATAATTAATTGTTAAGAGAAATATTTGAGGAGAGTGAGGAAGCACATAGCATGCATATGTAGAATCAATGTCAGATGATTTGTTTTTACTTTTGCAGGAGGAAGATTGTCACAGGTTGATGAGCAGCCTAATGACTGCTAGAAGGAATTACAGAGTATCGGTCAACACAAATCAATACTGATGATGATCAAAAACTGGAGATGACAACAAGCGAGATCTATGAAAATTCACCATACTTTTCCACTGACTCCAGTGCTTTGATATAGAAATATATTAAAGATCTACAAGTTTCTCTCAAAAGATACTTTAAATAAGAAGATGTGATTTTGTCACCAGAATAAGCATCAATGCAAGGTTGTACAACTTAATGACAAACCAGTCTGACTGATATTTATTATACCCCCGCTCCGAAGGAGAGGGGGGTATACTGTTTTACCCTTGTGTGTGTGTGTCTGTCTGTCCGTAACAAATTTTCGTCGCAACTACTGATCGTAGATGCTTGAAATTTTAACACAATCTTCTCTGAAGCATGCCATACGGTGGGATACATTTTTGTTAAAATCCGATGTCAACTTCCTGTTTTTCTGTGCGTCTGTCCGTTTCATACATAACAAATTTTCGTCACAGTTTTCTCAGCAACTACTCATCGCAGATGCTTGAAATTTTAACACCATCTTCTCTGAGGCATGCCATACATTGGGATGCATTTTTGTTCAAATCCAATGTCAACTTCCTGTTTGTCTGTGCGTCTGTCCGTTACATACATAACAAAGTTTCGTCACAGTTTTCTCAGCAACTACTCATCGCAGATGCTTGAAATTTTAACACAATGTTTTCTGAGGCATGCCATATGGTGGGATACATTTTTGTTCAAATTTGATGTCAATTTCCTGTTTGTCTGTGTGTCTGTCCGTTTCATATATAACAAATCTTCCTCGCAGTTTTCTCATCAACTATTCATAGCAGATGCTTGAAATTTTAGTACACTCTTTCTTGAGGCATGCCATATGGTGGTATTAATTTTGATGTGAATCTGATGTCAACTTCATATTTTTCTGTGCATCGGCCTGTAATTGAACTTGTGTATATTAACATGATGGTGCTTATTTACATCAGAGCGGGGGTATTACTAGTGAGCATTTGCTCACAGATTTCTTGTTATTAATGAATTTTGCAATGATTACACATTTACGTTTGGTGTTGTTAACTTGTAGGAACATAATGCAATTTTGAAAGATCTATGCTTTATATGTATATATTTGCATTTGCAAATGGGTTCCCCTATATAGCACTGTTTGAATGGGGCGTATTTAAGCCTGTGTATAAATGGGTTCGTCACATGACCATAAATTCATTGTTAAGTCATAAACGACCGACGTAAATTCATAGTGATGTCATAAGTGGTCAACATGTTTAACACATTCAATCATTCAATTTAAACTGTTGTAGTTTGAAAAAAAATCGTTCATGGGATTAAAACTATAGCACCCATTTATTTGTTATCAATCAGACACAAATCGTTTCTAAACTTTTATTGGGATGTAAATACAGGTTTTTCACGTGATCAAATGGATATATAAATCCCGTAACAAAGCCGTATTTACATACCAATAAAAGTTTTAAAATGATACCTTGTTTCTTAAAAACATGTAATATGTTTTTTTTTTTGTAAGCAAATGATGAAATTTTGGTAAGCTGTTAATGTTATAACGTTAGGTTTATCCATGGTTGTGCACATTTTTTGTAGGGAATAATACATTTTTGATAAGTTGTACTGTAAAAACGTTAGGTTTATCTATGGTTGTGACAATTTTTGTAGGGAAATCTGAATAATACATTTTTGATAAGTTATGATGTTAAAACGTGTTAGGTTTATCTATGGTTGTGACATTTTTTGTAGGGAATAATGCATTTTTGATAAGTTATGATGTTAAAACGTTAGGATCTATGGTGGCGACATTTTTTTGTAGGGAATAATACATTTTTGATAAGTTATGTTAAAACGTTAGGTTTATCTATGGTTGTGACATTTTTGTAGGGAATAATACATTTTTGATAAGTTATGATGTTAAAACGTGTTAGGTTTATCTATGGTTGTGACATTTTTTGTAGGGAATAATGCATTTTTGATAAGTTGTGATGTTAAAACATAAGGTTTATCTTTGGTTTTGTACATTTGTTTTAGGGAATAATCCATTTTTCATAAGTTGTGTTGTTTTAGGTTTATTTATGGTTTTGTACATTTTTTGTAGGGAATAAAACATTTTTGATAAGCTATTGCTGTTGTAGAGTTAATCTACGCTTCTAAACATACTTGTACATCTAACAAATTGTAGAGAAATAATACAATTTTAATAAGTTATACATGCAATTTTTATTCATGCTTCTAAATACCTGAGTGTATGTAACATGGCTTATTTGTACGTTAATTATTAAATTAAAAAAAATCGTTTGATGTTGTGAAGTTTGAATAATGTTTTTTGCATTGAATATACATGTAAGCATGAAAACAAATAAAGGAAGAAACGACAATTTTAATTGTTGATGCATACCAATTTATTTTTCAAACACGTACTTAATGACCTTGGAAAACAGTTCAAAATATTTAGTAATACTTCAAATATGATAAAAACGTATTCAACAAAATAATAATTACGACAAATATGCGCAGTATTTACATTGTAAGAGTTTTGTTTCCTCCAAACTTAATTGCAAATAACTTTCTATTGGTTCCTCATGACTGTCTGGATGTTAGCATGTTATAATTTTTTACCTTTTGACTTCTCTAGAACCACTTTATATGCATGTACATGTATGTATATGAAATTTACGCGGGTGTTACAAAAATGAAATAAAAATTGAAAGAGGACTGTCTTCAAACGTTCTTTTAAGTGACTGTGACAATACTATTTATAGAAGTCTGAAAAAAGTAGTGATTATATTATTATTTTTATACCCCCGCAAACAAAGTCCGTCTGTCTGTAGACATGATTTTTTTCCGGACCTATTCTTGGAGGCTACTGTATGGAATTATTTGAAGTTTTTTTAAAACGCATTAGACACCATATAAAGATATGCACCTGGTATTTTCACCATGATTGAACAATTTTTCTTCATCTTACGGTTTTTTTTTCTCCATTTTTTTTTTACTTAAGTCATTCTGTGTCATGTAGTTTTATGTCGATGTAGTTCTGCAGCATAATTGAATATTTATCAGAAATATAATGAGCAATTAATTTGACTCTCAAAAATTGTGAACACCTCTTACCTGTAGATCCAAAAAATACTTTTAGGGACTTGGTACCCCTTCAAAAAAATGAACTTAAAAAAAAATTATTTATTAAAATTTTTAAACAAAAACAACACCTCTTTCTCTCATTTTTTGCATGTACATTACAGGCAAGCTGTTTCAAATTATGCTTACTTTAAATAACCAAACTACTGCGTTTGTTAACAAGGCACAGTAAGCAGACTAATTGTAAACTGTACTGCTTCTGTTCCAGAGAATTCTACAGATGTTCCAGTCGGACGTCGAAAGCCTTCCAGTGTAATTGAACTCCTCATCCTCACAGAGAAGCATGTAGTGTGGCTGTTTTAGTCATGTGTGCTCAATTTTTTGGTTTACACCCATGACAGACGAAATAGAACTGATACAAATAGTACCGACACAACTTCAATTATCACAGATCAAACACGATGTATGAGAATGTCGATATTAATTTCCCCTCAACCTTGGGTTAAAGAAACAATTTTCACCGTTTTTGTTTGTTGTTTAATGTCCCTCTCGAGCATTTCTCACTCATGTGGCGACACCACCACTTGCCGGTGGAGAGCTGCAAATTTTGACCTATGCATGCTCGGGACTCGGGGCCATTGAGCAGTGAGGGATCTTTTTCGTGCCAGCACCCACTGCGACACGTGACCAAGATTTATACGGTCTCATCTGAAGGACTGGTCCCCACATCCCACAGTGAGGTACGAACCCGAGACCTAAGGATCAACTCTTTCGCGACTCTAGAGCAGATGCTCTTACCACTGCGCCACGCGGGCGACTCCATTTTTGTTAATTGTATGTAGGTTGCTTGATGAGTTTTTGTTTTTTTAATAATTAAATAATATAAATAAATAAATAAATATAAATAAATAGTTAAATAATTGTTTAAAAACGCTAAATTAAGCTGTTTTTTCCCATTGTTTATTTTTAATTTTGTGCAAATACAGCACATCATGTTGGTTTTAGTAGAAAGTTTCCAATTAACCCGATGAAAATTATATTTTCTGCCGAATACTGAATTTTTTAGCTCTATTGGTCAGAGACCAGAAGAGCTTATGCGATAGTAAGGTGTCCGTGGTCTGTGTAGATGTCTCTCTGTCTGTCTAGCTGTCCGTCTATCTGTAAGCAATTTTTCAAAATGCTACTTCTCCTACCGTTTTGGTTTGATTTCAATATAACTTGGCACACAAGTAGACTATCCTAAGATACACGTCTTAGTCAAAAGTATTCGTTAAAGAATGGCGGCCTGATTTTTCACTGAGGCTGTTCGATTCTTATTTCAGCGTCGTTCTTAATGCACAAATTAGAGTTATCCCTCTTACTACGTACATGTACAAATATACAAAAGCACAAGACAGGTCACATGGCTTTGTTATGACTTATTTTGTCGTCTGCAAAGGTTTTGTTCCCGGTATCAAAACAAATGGGCAGGAAAGGATCTGAACTTTGTGACTCCGAAAAGAAAGCATTCTATCGTTGTCTAAAGGTAATATAAAGTTAAAGGAAATATCAGAGATAACCGCAAGGCCCATATCTACTATATGCAGTTCTTAAAGCGACGACAAAGACGTGGAAGTGCAGAAAACAAGGATCGGAGTGGCAGACCGCGTAAGTGTAGTGTCCAAGGAGAGAGACAACTTATCCGACTTGTGAAAAATAATCGTCGAAAGACCTTGATAGAAATAACGAATGTTACCAATGAAAATGGACTTAGAAGACTGTCGGAAAGTACCGTGAAAAAAAAAATTGAGAAAAGGGGGATACCGGAGAAGACTTGTAAAGAAAAAAAAACTTCGGATTCGTGAATTTAACAAGAAAAAGAGAGTTAATTGGTGTAAACAATACAGACACGAAACAGTCGATGGGTTTTGGAAAAATATAAAATTTAGTGATGAATGTAAAGTGATGATTGACGGAGAATAACGCGTGTATGTGTGGAGGAAGCACGGCGAAGAATGGAGAACCCCTTGTGTTGCACCCCCTCCTGGACGCCGCCTAGATTTGATGGTGTGGGGATGTATAACAACTTAAGGTGTAGGTACTTTATAAGTTGTTGATGGTAACATAAATGCCGAAAAATACCTTGAAATCA